ACTCACATGTGAACCTAAATTTATTCTGCAACAAGCACTATACATTCACAGTAATGCAAATAGTTAGCTAGTGAACTTTAAAGAGATTTAAGCAGAAATTTTAACAAGAAGACGATTTATTTAATTTGCATTTATAAAAATGCAAAACTAAATTAATCTTATTTAACTCTAGATATGTTGCTCTCACTGCTCACAATTTTTATTTCATCGGTTTTGTTTGAAAATTTTGCTACCGTTGATATAAAAATCATTTTATATTCAGCAAGATTACGCATAAAAGATGCTTATAAGCTTTACAGTGCCTTTTTATTATTTTCTCTTTACTGTTTAATAGTATAAGTAATTTAAAAAATGCGGCAATTAAATTTATCATATTACTTTCTGTAGCATTCTTCTTATCAAATTTGCTTTCAAGCCTGCTTGCTTATTTTACGGGATATATTATCATGCAAAATTTGCATATCAATTCTAGCTTGGTACTACCATAAGTAGTGCTGAGCAGTTTATTGGATTTCAAGTTACCAATACTAATTTCAAGCTTTTAAGTCTTAATATTTGGAATCATACCTGGGATTACTACGCATAAAATTGTACCACACAAAAGTGATGTGATTGCCAAAAGCAAAGCAGTTATAGCATTTTCCTTATCAAAAGGATACTAACTCCTATTATGCATTTATTTATATTAGGTTTTATTTTAAAATTGCAGCATGACCTAATTTTATTAGTTTTTTTTTAAAGATCATGGTACAATCTTTACTATCGTAATAGTTGTAATCTATCTTTATGTTATATTGTTATACGGGATTGCAAGTTTATTTAATGTCTCGAATTGGCTAACAAGCACGAAGAATATGCCACCTGCGTTAGTTACAGCAATTGCAACTTCATCAAGCAACTACAATACCCGTCACTTTATAAGGGTGTAAAAAGAATATCAAAGATATGATACGGTAAATCCTATCGTTTCTGTAGTTGCAAGTATTAGCTCTCCTAGCAATTGCTTTTATATTATTGTCCTAGCTTTAGTGATCATAGAATCTTTTGGCACTCAGTTATTAACAATATGGAGTCACCTAAGTTTTTTTGTTATGCTTTCTTTTTTTTAAAAATTCGCTGCTATAGTATCATGCAGCAACATAATCATAGTAGTCGATTCTTGATGGATGTTTGTATTTTCTCCAGCTATGCTCTCACTAATAACTGCAATTTACGTGATTATAACCCTATCATCACTGGTGCAAATATTACTGGAGATGGTGCACTAATTATCATATTTACTAAGCTTTATAAAAGCTTTCAAAAGCTCATATAGCCAGATAATTTCTCTTGACTGTTAAAACAGTAGGTTTTATGTTAAAACAATAGTAATATGAATATATGGAAATTTTTCTTGATAGTGCTGATTTAAATGAAATTAAAGAATTAAAAGAATTAATTGATGGTATCACAACTAATCCCTCATTAGTTGCAAAATCTGGCCATAAAAATAAATATAAGGACTTAATAAGTGAGATATGTTCCATTATAGATGGACCTGTTAGCGTTGAAGTTGTTGCTGATAGCCATGAAGAAATGATGAAAGAAGGACTAGATTTGGCAAAAATTGCTAAAAATATCGTCATAAAACTACCCCTTACATATAATGGATTAATTTCTTGTAAAAAGTTATCGACAGAGCATAATATAAATGTTAACATGACTTTGTGTTTTTCTCCCGTACAAGCACTACTTGCTGCTAAGGCTACTGCTTGTTTCATTTCTCCCTTCATTGGTCGCCTAGACGATATCAGTTATGATGGACTGTCATTAGTAGAAGATATATGCACTATGTATTCCAACTACATGTTCGATACTAAGGTTATAGTTGCATCAGTAAGAAGCCCAACACATATAATTAAAGCTGCAAAACTTGGAGCTGAGGCAGTAACTGCGCCAGCCAAAGTACTAAGGCAGTTAATGCATCATCCCCTCACTGATCATGGGCTTGCAGTATTTGAAAAGGACTGGCTGTAGATCCAAGTCTATCCTGGGGTTACTCACCTGGCTATATCAAATTTGCCCAAGTATCTGGAAGTGTATCGGTTGGGTCAATCTCTACTATTGTTTTTTTCTACTTGTGCTACCAGCTCCAGCAAAGCTATCTTCTAATTTATTTACAAAGATTATTTAGCATCGCCACTATCCTTCACGCTAAGTATTGCTTTTGCCAATCCTACTACCTTATCTGTAGGGCTTGCTATGCTTATACCATCGGGGTTATAAAAGTTTTTTGTTGTAAGTTTTGACTCCGTGATAATTTTGTCTTCCAACTTACCTACTATAGTAGTTACTCCACCATTAGTAGCATTTGTACCATCAAGTTTAGCAAACCCATCTAAAGCAGTTTTTATCAGCTTACTATCTAAACAATGCTATCGGTCTTGTTAGTTAGGTCCGCTTGCGTTAGCCTTGCCTTCTAAAGCGGTTTTGATTGCGCTGGTGCGTTCAGTTGTTAGCTTAGTTAAAAACTTACCCATGTCAATATTTTCATCATCTTTGTTAGCAAGGCTATATTTTAATTTGCCAACTAAATTTGGCATCCTGCGCAGTCTAATAATTCTTATACGTTAACAACAGTCAAAACTGTGCTCATATTTGCTGGTATTATCATATTAACCTTCTTTAATTAGAAGCTACTATATATAAAGCTATGTAATAGCTATTAACACTACAGATCAACTCGTAACATTACAGATCATATTGCAAAGCGAACGGTCGCACCAACTTCCACGCCATATATACCAAAAAAAGCTGCTCTTTAAATTAGTAGTAATACTATCATCTTGTTTAAAACTAATGTTTTTGGCTTTCCAGCTTTAGCCGGAACCTCTATTTTTTTCGAAGTTGTAAATTCGTCAAAATTACCGCCAATAAGACCAAAATGTCTGCATCCAATATAGATATCTGTATCTTTAATTATTTGGTAATTAAGACCAGTTATCGATTGATGTACAGGTCTAATTGATGTTTTAATATTTTTATTCTTGTTACACCAATTCCAGCTCCAACATAGGGGGAGAAAGAAAAGCTCATTTTCCAATGGTGATAAATATTCCATGACAGATGAGTTCTTAGTATGGTCATGATTTGCTATCATTGAATATGTAGCATCTGCATTTTTTGAATCTTTCGTATTATGCATTACAGTAATTGGCCCATTTATTAAGCCAATGTTATTCACTTTTACCTGGGAATACATTCCCTTCAACTTAAACCTATATTCATGCTGTTCAAGCTTCGTTATATCGGACAAGTACTACACTCGCAGAAATGGGCGTAATTGATTTATAATCACTGATCTACCGACTTTCTTTGTTTAATCCAATTCTATCATTTATATTAGCGGCCAAGAGATTTTGTAGGATGCTATAAACTATCTTTTGCGCAATTGATCCAAAGAAATGATATTACCACATGGAGATTTTTCAATATATTCTTCATTTTTATCCTCAGTGAAC